TGACTGATTTTTATGTTCTCAACCTGCTTATATTCATATATGTGTATAAAGTTTACCCTTTCTTTTACTTTAATAAGATTAGTAAGCATTAGCATGATTAATGTGATTTATTGACATTTTAAAGACTTAAGACCTATAATACATTTTAGAGTTAAATATTGCATTGCATGTATTGCAAGAAGAATGAAACTCTTACTTGAAAGTTACTTGACAATTAGACAAATAGAAAATAAAACACTACTCCAACACTTGTTGTCCTCGAGTTCATAGATTATATGCATCACTGTTCATGTTCGTGCAGTCAGTCCACGACTCTGCCCTTTCCTCAATAATGTGCTACCTTTCTATTGTCTCTGACAGTTGTCTGTTTGGCATGGTCTAGAAGGACGCGCACTTACACACAAACACACGCCAGACCATATCGTGTCCCACATGCTCCTTTTAAAGATGGGTTTCCATGGTGAAGCTGGATGAGAAAGCCTTTGGGGGCATTGTTTGCATACACATGTGTATGTGTGTGTGTGTGTGTGTGTATGACTGATCACTGAAACGGTGAAAGTCCTGTTTGGTGTGGCAGCATTGTTTACACTGAGTAGAGACCTCGCCTGAACTACAGGGTAGAATATTATAGCGATGTTGAATTGAATTTACAGATCCTAAGCTGCACTCAGGCCCCAATGTCATAAGACACACATTAAAGATTCATACACACTGTAGCACTGACTGCAAACACATAGGCCTCCAAATATCCACCTCTATCTACACAGACACAAACATACACCAATTTACACACACATACATACACACAGCATACACATAGGTTCACATTACCTCCCTGGAGTTGGGAGCAGGGTGTGGGTTGAGTATGTTTACTGAAGAACTGACTAAAGTAATGTGTTGGCGGGGAGTTTGCCTTTGTTACTTGTATAGCTTAAGCTATCGCCAGAGCCACAATGAGGATTTGTAGCCCGGTTGTGAGACATTGAGCTATTCATATGCATGACAGTCAGCCCTCACTGGTTTCTAAATTTGGGCAAAGCCAATGGAGGGAGAAAGAGAAGGAGAGAGAGATACAGGGAATATGAAATTCCAATTTTTTTTCTTTTCTGTGAAAAGAAATTCATGGAAAGGAAATGATGTGCAAGCGTTTCTCTGACACAAAAGTTGACGAAAGGTAGAATTAGAACTGCTATGTTTGTGCATGTGTGTGCATACTTATGTTAATATACACGATGCATGTTTGCAAGTGGTTGCAGTTTTGCGTATAGGTTTTGACAGCACACCATGTGTCCTCTCCACCTCTGAGTTGCAGTCACAAGACAGGTTGAGTGTGCCACTGTGCTCTCTTAATGCAGTTAGTTAGTTTTCTAATCTGTTCAGAGTATTTAGGCACATGAGGACCTTTTGAAGCTTGTATCACTGTGCATTGGATTGACTAAACAGTCTCACAAACCTGTTAAATAGAAAAATAGATTATGTTCAAAGTTGTGGGGCTCAAATGCAACATATTACCCTAAAAAAAGGTGACATTTCTTTGCTGAGAATATCTTGAACACTGGGCTAATCCTTTTGTTATACATCAATACCACAGGGGCAGTTAAACAAAGAGTTTCAGATTATCCTGAAATAGTACTGATGGTGAAGTGCCACTTGCTGCTATATGTAGTCCGTTAACTATATATCACGTTTTACACCCAAAAGTCCTCTGGAGATGAGTTCTCCCACACAAGCTTTATTCACAAAAATATATTTATCTTGAAGGAAGGATAAATCTTTTAGGAAGGATAAATCCCTCCCACAGCTGGGAGAAAGCAAATTTCTCTTCCTCAGTATTTATGTTCCTCCAGATCATATTGGCTGCATCAATGAACACTCCATGGTTCACATGGCTAGGGTCATGAGAACATATTAGCTGTAACTTAGTAGAAAATGGAAATTAATTATACTAGTAAAGATTTAAATGCATATAATGGAAATGTTCTCTGTACTAATACAGCAGATGTATGGTTGCTCACATGTTGTCTACTTGGCGTTTTCACCCCTGTGTCTTCTGTATTCAGACCAAAGCAAATACAGTATACATTTCGCAAACACGCCCTGGTATCCAGTAGTCACCAGCTAAAGTCTGCCTGGTAACCCACAGGTACCAGCCTGCCAGCTGCCAAACCTTCGGCTCTGCAGGGAAGAGCCACAACGAATCCACACACACACACACACATCGGCACCCTCGTCTCTTCCTCTCTCTGTCCCTCTCTCTGAATGTCCACTCGTCTTGTTTAAAATATAGATAAGCTGTCAGCGGCCTGTCTCCATCTCTCTGAGGCAGCACCTGGCAGACATGTTTAAATCAGGTCAGTAGACATGACCTGCGGCAGGGTCACCTTCTGGCTTGGCAGTGGTCACCTAGACTTAAACTGTTCCAAGGTACAGGGTACAAGGTAAATGTATTTGCCATTTTGCAACAGGTCTATATTATGAGACATTACTGATCTGTGAAAGCAAAGGAGGTTTAATTATAGTCAAAACTGGGGAGTGTCTTTGAAACACGTTAGTGAGACATCAAATGCAAACCCAGCGACTTTATAGTGTGGCAGTAAATTCATGCCTTTGCTTTTGTATGTTTTCTTGACAGTAATTACAAATCCTAGTCACAAAGCTGCTTAATTGTTTATCGTAAAACAACCTAATGTTCTAAATGGTAATTTAAAGGACTATACCACTGTTTTTGCAGGTTTAGATACATACTGATACACAACTGACTAGTTTTAACCTTATTTGCTGGATTTAGAGTTGCAACCATTGGATAATTAGCCTAATAATTGGGAAATTGTGATGAGAAAGTTTCACTGTTTTCTGATGTTTTATAGGCTAAATGACTAACTTAGAAGACAATTGGTAGATTAATCGATTATTAAAATAATCATTACTTGCAGCCCTAGTTGGAATGATAACTAATTCTAAAGCCAGACTTATTTTGCATAAGTAGGTGATGCACAGTTGCACACGACTTAATGGGAACAAATTCCTTTATACTTCCTGTGCTGTTTGCTCTTTTAAAACACTGTATGCTAGAAATCAATGTACAACAGCAGGTTTGCAAACATGTCCATGAAAATTAGGAACAAACTGCTTCCAACTGACTTGATGTGTGCAGCCAGGAACCTCACATCTACATTCAAACACCCACACACCAAAAACTACTACAAACTCAAAGTTTCAGTCTCTGTGTCAGCATTGTCTACCCATACTGGATGTCTGTCATTTGCGTGCTGATTTCAGCAGCTGTGTGTCACCGGGTGTCATGACTCTCCCCCTCCATTTGCTTCTGTGTTTCAGTCCCTATGCTGTCACTCTCTGTTTTTAGTGCAACTGTATTTGCATGCCTCGCCTTGCGACCTTGAGTATGTGAGTCACGGGGGGATGGAGAACAATTTTACTGAGGGCGCACGGTGGTTTTTGCAAGTGTAAACAACTTATTCTCAGTCGGCCTGCTGGCTGCTCAGCTCAGCTCTCAGTCAATAGGCGCAAGATAATGTTTATTCGTGCACGCAACCGGTGGATTCCCCTGACGGACTGAACGCCCCCAGCAACCAACTCCTTCTCCTCCACTTCTCTCGTTCTCCCTCTTCCTCTTTCCTATGCTCAGTTTCTGTCTGTATTATCAACAGTAACGGGTTTCTCCCTCTAGTACAACAAGACAGAAACCCTGTGTCGATCTCCCCTGAGTGATCCCTGTCGCACTGGCAGGGAACCGATGGCAGGCCTCAGTGGCTCACATTTTCCGAAAATGCTTCTCTGGAATTATATGCAAAGGGATGACGAATGAGATGGAGAAGCATTGCACTGGGGGAGGAAGGGGGTGATGGAGGGAGCGGAAGAAGAGAAAAGGTGAACGGGGTGAACTACTACAATGTCTGTATTTGAGAGACCCAGTAGATGTCTTCAATTGAGTGTGCTAAATGGGTTTTCAGGGAGGGGAAATAAAAGAGCCTGTCATCCCTCCACTCTATCTCTCCTTCTGTCTTCCACATTCCTTCCTTCTCTTTCTAGCTTCCTCTCCCTCCCGCCTTTCATCCCCCTATTATTAGGGCCCAGTAATGAAATGTAGAGTGTCTCGTATTGGTGCCTGGGCCCCAGCAAACTGTATTAGTGTGTAAATGGTGTGGGAGTAATGAGAAAGCACTCAGGCCAGCCGGGAAGACTGGACCGTGGGCCATGTATTGTGTGTGTGCCTGCATGTGAAGTGCATGTGCATCCAATGAATAACAAGAGACGTTGGGTAGAGAGGGGTCCCGGCTCATGGGGGCCAGAGTGATGTTTCTGTCTCGGATACCAATCCTGCAATTGTTAGTCTTCAACAGAGGAGAAGCTTATAAAATCTATTTGGTCAGCAGCACACAATCTCACTAGTGGCCTAAAGCATCAACGTCAGTGTCTTCATGTGGCTCACTTAATTTAAGTCTTTTTAAGGTGAATTATGCAGGCTTAGCAAAAGGATTTATGCTTTAATGCCTTACGGACTGACTTCATTAAATCACTGGCTACATTTTGCCATCACTAAAATCTGTCTATCCTTCTGAAAGCACTGGTTTTCAGTCCTGATCCTCTGAATCAGCTATTGCATTCACCTTGCTTCCCACCTGTAATTAGCCTCTGTTTAGCTGTCTAGTGTAATAAACCAGCAGGGCTCTGGGTCCTGAAAACCACTGATGTAGCGCATAATGTCTCCTCTTCTTTTTTAACATCCCAGAAGGGGAATACCTGCTCCTTTCTTTTACACTGTCTCCCTGCATAATGTATAAGTGCACATTGCTCATACAAATGGCCCACACCACTGGCTATGTAATAAAGGGTTGTGTGTGAATGTGGCTGAATGATATCATTCCATTTCCTCTGGCCTGGAGGGCCTAAAAGAGAAGCAGAGACAAGACAGACACGCTCCATCCAGTAAATACTCTTTTCACGGCTGGACCCCCCCCCCCCCTCTCTCTTTTCTGCAGATATGCTGCCTAAATCGGTGGAAAGTGTCTTCATCTTCCAGGAGGGGAGCGAGGGTGAGCCAAACGTAGCCACCCCGACATACGACGCCATCGTAGTGGAGCAGTGGACCGTCATTGATGTGAGTGGAGAAATTTTTCTTTTCCTCACAGTGTCGCAGGTTTTGTGCTCTCTGCCACGGGTAGAGAGGAAACATTATGGATTGTGTAAAAGGTTCCATCTTTGTTTTTTTTTTTCAATAAATTCATGTTTCAGTGGCTTGTTTTTAAAAAAGGCATAAAGAGGCACATTTAATGCTGGGCTAGGCAGTAATTAAAATATTGGTATCAAATTCGTAATTCTGCTTTCCAAATTAATGATTCCAAGCTATATGTAATTAAAACAGCATACTATCCAAAGAATTACATTCATATTTGAAGATTAAAAACCTTGTGATTTACATTCAGTCAATGTTCACTGTCAATACAGGGAGTAGTCTGCCTAATATGGATGGGAATGGGAAAGTAAGAGTGAGGTTAGGATATAAATAGGTGTGTGGCTCCATGCCGGTGGCCACAGTTTGTGTACCATCACAGACCATTTATTCCATTTTATTAACCAAAACGATGATCATTGCCTAACCTTAAGCAAGTGTTTTAGTTGCCTAACTCTAACTATACCTTGATCAGCAGAAATTTCAAAAACAACATTGGACGTAAAATAAATTAAACTAACATTTTGTCACTAAACATGATTTGTAGAATCATCCAAAACTGATGTTCTTGTCTGGCCATAGGGTTGAATTAACTAACAAAATTATTTGTTTACATTCAGCAATATATTTAATCCACATTAGGGCACAGATCCTCTTTAAGAGTCTGGTCCATTGGCATTGAAATCAGTTGTCACTCAGATATTGTGCCCTTCTGCCCCCTCCTTGCTCTACAGCCAACCTTTCTCCCCCAACAACCCTAAAGGCAAATCTGGCAAATCTCAATTTATGGGACATGTGTCGCGGCCGCTTGTCTTATCAGGAGCAAACAAGCCCTTATCTGCCCCCCGATTAGTGTCTCTCCTCAGCACAAGTTCCAAGTTGAAAATTGATTTCTGTCCAGAGTTGAAGGGTTTGCGGCCATTTCATTGCCTTTCATCTGTATGTGTGTGTGTGTGTGTGTGTCTGTCTGTCTGTCTGTCTACATGTTTGTGCATTCAGCTGTATGTGCATGTATTTGTGGATGAGTTTGGTTTTGTGTGTCTGTATGTGTTTGTCGATGCTATCTCTGTAATTGAATTTAGACTTTTTGCGGCCCATGGCTGTCCAAGTGTGAAAGGAGACTTTTGTCCCCCAAATGCAGCTCTCTGATTGTCCAGCCCAGTGCTGATGGCCACATGTGCCAATAAAGACTCCTGCAGTCGTCTGGTGGCAGCTGTAGAACCTCCCCTCCTCTGAGAAGAATGGTAATACTGTTACAGCTTAATGGATTTCAAGGGTTCCTCAGAAATGTTAACAGTGAACGACGGCAAACCGACACCCAGTGTTCCAAGAAATCCAATCAACTCTTCCACTGGGACTTTATCAAAAACTGTTTCGCACAAGCAATCGGCACCATGCCAAATCAGATTGACAACCCATTCTTTCACAAAGAGCGATCAGGGCCTCACATCATCCCTATTCATTTGATAACGGCCTTAAATTGATATGCAGAGTATCCTCAGAGCTGATTATTGTCGGGATAATTACAATGAAAAATAAGGCAGAATATTGATTGGTTTTTTATCTTCTTCTTCCTCTTTATAAACGTCATCTTTTTTTGTTTCTAATTCTTTACAGTTTATTTATCCAAAAGTCTAACAGGTGGTTGGATGTATGAATCTAAGAGAGGCTGTTTCACAATCATTTATTGTGTCGTCAAGTGGGAGTGTATCATCTCAGGGACAGTGTCTGTTCATCACCAAATGGGTGTAATTGTTCCATTTATAAATGAGTTACAACCTTTTTATATACAGGCTATGGTTACAAATAATCAGAGGCTGTGCATGCGAAAAGTGCAGAATTTCTAATGCCATCAGATCTACAGGTGTTCGCGAATCAAATCAATTTCATGGGGGGGGGGGTTGGCATCAGTTGTAATCAGTCAGTTTTAAGATTCACAGATCTAAATTAATTCATTCATGTGCCGAACACCTCTAACTTGACTCAATTTCTTTTGCCATACATTACTTTTGATGAGTAACATGAAATGAGTAAGTGATTAAATTAGTGATTACATTACAGCTCCGGTGAACAAAGACCTTTAGTTTATAGCCTACTTTATTTCTGTCATTCTAAACAGTTTGAAAAGTTTTACAATGATAAACCTTGGATAAAAATACAAAAACCCATGGCTGACCTTACTAACATGTAAGATGTGATAATGACAAGTACATTCATCTTATTAGGTATTAATTTAGTGTATTAACAAAGAATACACTAAATACATTGTGTTTAATTTAATTATTTTAGTTGTACTGTGATAAGACAGATAATTCAAAAAAATATATTGAAATACAATGATAAAAAGCCCACTAATGTGCATTTTATTGCATGTGAGACAAAACTCACAGGTCAAAAGATTCTGACTTAAAAATATTCCTAGAAAGAAATTAAAGAAGAAAACAAGAATCAAAAATAAATGTCAGACTGACAAACTAAAATGCAAGTGCTGTGGAAATTGTTTTTACTAAAAGACAGCACAAAAACAACAAAATGGATTAAATGACAAGCAAGAGAAATACATATACATACAGTGTTTAGGTTGTACAAGCCTGCATATGTTCTGCATAAAAAATGCCATCAGTGCGAAAGAGATGGTATAGACATTTGTTTTAGCTTTATCACGAAAAGCAAAACAACACAGATTTTGGACAGATGTTCTAAGTACATCTGAAGATGCAGCAGTTGCCTGAACATGCTTTTTCCTGAGCAAAATTGCCTGAATAGGAACCATATGGATGGTTGTGAAGTGCTCCAAATGAATAACTCATCAAGGGTCTGCTATGAAACTCCAATTAGGTCCAGCATCGCATTTATTATGTCCTGTGGGGAAATCAATACATGAGCTGCTTTGGAACTATTGTACTGAAAGCCTTCTTTCCCATCACAGGAGCAGTAACCAAACAAAACATGTTCTACTTCAATCCTTAGCTAGGGTTGGTCTGTTTGCTCGAGCTGCTGCAGGAGAATTTATTTTTCAATGTGGACAAAGTACATTAGCAGGCGTGTGTTGTGTTTCAGTCTTTCTGTATCCACATTAAATAGTGAAAGAGCACCAGAGTCACAAAAACATCCATGCATGTGTGTTTTATTAAAAGATAAACTGATACTCACCTTAGCACAGCTGACCTCTATGAGGAGTCTCATGTTTCTTGGAAGCTTCTCATCCTCTCTTTTATATCTTCCTAAAATGTTGTTTACAGCACCATTATCCACTTCAGGTCTGCCAGACCCAGCAGTAGGTCCATTATGACAAGCTGTTTTCACAAGATATACTAACATTTTATAAATATATCGAACATGTTATGCTAAAGGGGAAATGTGTATTTTCATCTGATCTGATGGTGCAGCCTTAATAACATCCCATCTCTGGTTTGAATATTTCATTTGAATGAAAAGTTGTATAAAGCCTTTTGTGTCTCAAGAGGGAGCTGTGTGAAGTCTGAGAAAGTACCTCAAGTGATGTCTAGAGTCAGCGTTGGCTGGGGCTGAAGACAAGTTTGAAAATGAAAAAATCTGGGGCTGTGGAGGCTCCATTAGCTGCTACTAGCATAACACGCTGAAATGTCGAACAGAGTTGCACTATGGATAATGTTGCCAGAACTTGACATGGAAGGAAGAATATATGATAAAAAAAAGACGATGTCTCCGGTTCTTCGGGATCAAGTTTGATCCTTGTTTTATTTTCCATTATGGGCCTGACAGTGTTATAGGAGTGCAGTGCTAAACCTATGGTATACATAGACTTTTAAATGGACACTCGTGATTTAGTATTGTACTTTTAAAAAAATACTTGGAAGACTTGATAGACAGATTATATGGGTCAATCTTCAAAATACTGAAATCTTTACTTTTCATGATAGAACTTTGTCTTGTCTAGATCTTTATTGCCTCATAAACACCCATGTTTTTTAAACTCCATACCCACAGTTTGTAATGCAAGTGTTCTATTGAAAATGTGTAGTTTCAAGCCCAAACTGAGATACCTCAGAAGTTTTCTCAGATCTGACAAAGCTCCTCCAGGGCTACAACAATTTTTACAGGCTGTGTCTCAACAACTGGCAAATTGACTTTGACATATAATATTGGTGAAGTGAACCTTTAAGAGAAAATCAGGGATAAAGAGGTCAGAGCAATAAACAGCTTCTGTATTCGACCATGGCTCTGTAAAGGGTCATTCTTAAAGGGTCAAGAGGTATCCATACGCATAAGCTTTGTTTTCTCTGTATCCCCAAACCGCAGCACATAAACCTGAAATTATCCTACAAGGCCACATACCACTGGAGGTAAATTACTGACCCTTTAAAATATTCCTTACCACAGCAATAATACTGGCATCGGCATTTGTTACTCTAATTAGATACAGCAGAGATGCAGCTAGGCTCTATTACCTTACCTATAATCACAGTAAAAGATATTTAAAAAAATCCACATAAACATGATTACTTATGTGTAGTGGTAACCAGTGCTTTTTACATAACTTAGAAAATGGAAAGAGCAAAAAAACGAGACGTATTGCAAAGTAGCTCCCTGGTTACAACAAGAAAAGCATTGTTTATATGCAATATTAGCGTAGCTAGAACATAAAAAGTAACTGTTGTTTGGTGTTCGCAAAATGATTTAAAGCTAAAAAAAAACTGTTTTCTCTTTGACTCCAGATGGATAGCAGAAGATCTAGAAGGAGCTGTTTATGCTTCATTTTCTAAAGAATTACAGCTTTTTGGTCATATAATGTCTAATGCATTTTGATATTAAATGTTCTCTCATCCACTTCAAGCACTGCAGTTTCATAATGTTGTAGGTTTGCTCACTCCTTGATCTTGACAACACATAACCCCAAAGAGAAACCACAAAAACTGCTATGAGAGTTTGGAGAAGGTGTCTACTCC